CCCCGCCCCCAATTATCTCGCCCATTCTGACCTCATTAACGACTCTGGCTGTGCTTCGCTCGGGGAGGGGGGAGAGGGAGGGGGCAGAGGTACACTCTGGCACTAGGTCGTCGTCGGTATCGATTTTAGCGTCAAATCCGTTTATGGCCGTCTGGTCAGCGTCGCTGCCTTTTTCCACGAGCTGTGCAGTGCGCTCCACCCGGGGACCTGCATTGGTTGGGAAGTCGAGGGGAAGGAACGCCACAGTCCGAGCAGCTGAGGTATGCTCTTTGGTGAGCGTCGAGCGTAGCTCCAGGCGCGAGGTGCGTAGTGCTGGCGCCGTCGGAGAGCCGATATTGCCTCTTTGTACTGATGGATGAATGGATTCCATCGGGATTGGGTTTCAGCGCTGTCACGCGCGCTCAATGGAGCCGTTTGATGGGAGGTAGATAGAGATGCGTAGCAGATGGCGTCGGTTTCCGCACTCGCCCGGCTTCGGAGGCTTATTCCAGACATTGATGCAAACATTCTGATAGTATTTTTTTTTCTGGGCTGATGGAGCTTAAGAAGATTTTCTATTTTAGGCTTTCGTTGGACACAAAAAGTTAATTTTCACTTCAGTTAATTTCCGTTCATCTGGGCACTAATGGTTCTATCTCCGCCCTTTGCCTATCTCTATTGTGGCGTGTCCTTGCCCTTCAAACTTGATTAGGGTGTCAGTGTGCCAGTCTGTGCCGTTGGTCCGCTCTAAGACGTGTCATTGGGCTCTCAACCTACGCTCAGCTCCTCTGAGCTTTGCCACTTCGTGTTTCTAAAGCTGTTGCCTTACTTCGGATCACGCTCTGTGGTTTGTTGCACTGTTAATGCTTTGCGTGCGTTTGTTGAGCTGTAGGGTATTGTTTTATTTGTATCTTTGTTGTTTACCTAATGTCAAGCTGCTTATGTATGTATGTGTGTGATGCTGCTTTGTTTTACTCCATGTTGTGTTTCTTTGTCTGATTCTGTACTTTGCTCGGCTGTTTTAGGCCTGTTCCATCCTGACTTCCTGGGACCCTGAGCGACGAGCTTGTCTCCCCTCCCGTCCGCGCCCCTCCACCCGTCTCTGGTAGCTGATATTGCCACCAGCGCCACCGCGGTGACGTCCCGTTTACGGGTCGTCTCTGCGGCGCCTTAAACTGGCCCTGGCCTTCCGCGCCGACCGCCTGACGAGGTTAGCATACAAATAGAGCAGTCAGCCCGGCGGACGGCGTCGTTCCACCGCCGCGCCGCCCGAGCCCGGCAGTTTAACCGGCCCCGAGGGGCGGCGCCGGTCGTTTCGCGACTCGGTATGAAGTTGATGCAGGGGCTGCTGGCCAGACCAGAGTGCTTGGGTGGACGCTGTATTGGAGAGAGGATGGAGATGATGGTTAGGTGCTGGAAGGAAGGTATTTCATTCAGGGTTTTCTTGGAACCTCAATCGTTCTATTTATTAAATGATTAAAACTGCTTTGTCGTAATGACACCATGCCACTGCACCTTGAGTTTCACTTTCCGAAGAAGAACATGCTTACCATATTCGGAATAACAATAATAATCTACTGGTGACGGTGTGTACGAAAACGAATGTGGTATACTTTAGTAATGTGTTCTAGTTCCTGCTGGGTGTCGGCCGCCCGCCTCCGACGCGGGGCGTCAGTAACCTAACCTAACACCGTCCGTCGGCGGGCCGCCGGGCCCGCTCGGCGGTCTGCCGGCGGCCCGGCCCGCGGCCCGACCCTGCGCTGCCGGAGCTCTCCGGTGTGTGGTCTGGGACGGGCCGGGGGTCTCGGAGAGGGGCGGCGGCCTCACCGGCGGACGGCGGCGGCGCCGGCCGGCCGGACGGTGAGCGTTGACCGACCTCGGTACGGCCGGCTGCTCCCTTCCACTGGTCGGACCGCCGAGCCGCCGTCCGCACACAGCGCCGTCAGCAGGAGACAGGAACGGCGTCCGGCGGCGGCCGGGCGACAGCCGCCGGCCGGCCGCCGCCACCGACGCGACACTTGGACACCGGGTCGGCGATGGCTCCGGTGTCCCCGGGATCGAATAGGGAAGGGTTGATATAGCCTTGGAACTCTTTGTTGGACTCGTATACGCTTTTGTTATCTTCAAGGTGTTTCAGTTCAATATTTACATTTTCTAACCAATCTTTCGTCGATTTGGTATTGAATATGCGAAGCTGAATATCATTTTAAGAGCAGATGTGTATCTGTATCATGTGCAATTTTATGGGAATCAGCTTTTCCACAGCTCTGAACCACTTCTGAGTCACAATTTCGCATTCATACGAAAGTCTACATCCTACCACCTTTTCACATTTCCGCCTTAGTGATTGCCGCTCGGACCCAGCTAATATCCCGTGTATGCTCTGGTTCGTGCGTGTGTGTGCGCGTTTCAAAGGCTTGTTATGGTCCGTTTGGTGGCCTGCCCCGGGGCGCCCGGCCGGACCACCCGGAACTGTGTTTGGCTGCCGGCAATCACAGGCCCGGGGCGGCCCATTTGGTCAGCGCGTGGTTGGCCGGCCGGGCGCTGTTTGCCCCAACGGACCGCACCTTTGGAGGAACGTGAGTCGGCTGCTGATTGTAGGCTGGTGGCAGAAACTGGGTGTTTTTAAGACGCAGGCGCGAAGCAGTGCGCATAGGTGTAGTTGGAAGCTTTGGCGCGTTTGCGTCAATGCAGATAAACATTCGTTCGAATTGCGGAGATAATTGTATAGAACGACACTAAAGGCCTGGCTACACCATGCGTTTTCTGCGAGTTTGCGTTTTTTGCCTAATATTGCTCTAGGAAAAAAGTTATGAATAATATAACTTTTACATTACTTATATTATATATACAAAAGTTAGTATAGCTGTTATATTAACTAAAATTTGAGGTAAAAAACATCTCAAAAACATAATATCGTTCTTTTTTTCTAGAACGAAATTACGCAAAATACGCAAAGCTGCAAAAAAAAAAAAACGCACGCAAAAAATGCATAGTGTAGCCAGGCTTTTAGGCTGTGGAAATTTGCTGTTTATTGCTTGTTGACCAGTTTTCCCCTTCGTTGCTCATCGCCATTGTGTTATGGAACATTAAAGTTGCTCCTTTATTTGTTTCTTTATATGCAATCTACGTATGATGTAAAACACGTTGTTAGCCTGTTTGCCAATTTAACCTTGATGTAGCGGTTTCTAGTCCCTATTTCCCGCGGCCACGACGAGTCTTCTGTGGGGTAGCGAAAGCGGTCGGTCGAACCGCGTAATCCGTCCCAAAGTCGTGCGGTGCAGTCTACCTCTCCAGGCCACTACCACTGCTGCCATCTAGGAGCGGGAGTAGAAAGTTGATAGCGCTGCCGTCTCTGCGAATGGCAACCTGCCTGTTCCTTTTTAAGTGGTTGCTGCATTTTTAAAATTAAAAGAGCGAATGGAAGCGGAGAAAGGCTATTTGTGAGGCGACGCTGTTGACAGTGTTGGAAACTTTACGTGGAACTTTCAATGAAATCGTTCCTATTCAAACAACTTCCGCCGTTTTCATCAGGCTCTCTTTGTTCCCACGAATTTTAGGCCATTAACTGTTCGCTGTGTTTTCAAGGATATTCTCCGTGACAAGGCGCTAACTTATCTTTGTTTTCCTGCCGGCTGTTAATTTATAACGTCTCTCTCGTATTCCTTCGCGCCGAGAGCTGGCTGTCTTCATTCTGCTCGTTCCAGTTCGATTAATACAATCGGCACGATCTAATTTATGGCGTGCTGTGTTGTGGAACGGCCTCATTTCTGAAATGGCGGCCATCGACCGGGTAGTAATGAAACCGACGGTGTACCATACTCGATAATTGCGCTCCAGAAGCGGAGCGCACGGTGCGCTGTGGACTTTCTAGCGCGGATCAAGCCCAATAGACAAACGCTATATGCTTCAAAACATGTGTATTGTTGCAATGCTCCACCATGGTATCCTTTTCGCACACAGTTATATAGATTAGTTTTCAACGTGTTTCCTGTTTATGCGGGCTTGTGGATTGTTCACTTTGTGGTCCTTTTTAATGCGGTAGAAAATGGTAGTTACGTAGTGTACTGTGCCGGCTGTCCTGAAGTTTATAGGAATAATTGTCATTTGTCTCGTTTCAAATAGCGTGGCAGATGTTGCATGCCAAGTGATGTCAAACTTCGCCTCCGAGTAAGCCGTCCTCACTACTATTCACAGTCATCCTCCCCGCGAGTAGTACCTTGTGTCTGTCTCTTCCTACACCCTTGTGATCACTCTCCCCTTCTGACACCCACCGGGTCTCTTCTCCAGGCGGCGGCAGCGCGGATGAAGCAAACTGCGAGGTGTGGCTGTTCCCCACCGGCCAGTCTCACTCTGACGGCACTCCGCGGCTGCCCCGGCTTCACCCTATCTCCGGAGAGGCCGCGGTGGCTCCCAGTGATGACAAGATTGACGGCTGTGCTGATCTGTTCACTGTGGTGGAGGGGAAGCTGCAGACCGAGTTCCATAACATGGTCCAGGTGAGTGCTGTGGTACCGCGGCTTTGGTGGTAGTGGGGACAAGATGGTTTGGGAGACAGAGCTCCGTGCGGTGCAGGGAGATGGGGACGGGAGACACGGTAGCTTTAGCGCGCTGGGAGACGACACGGCTCGACGTGGTGGAGTTGAGAGACTCGTGCTGCGCGTTGAGGACGGGTGGATAAGTGGACTGGGGTCGGGGCGGGACTGGTGGCCAACAGCCGGGACCGGCGGGCTCACCACTGCAACGGCTGGCGACTGATTGATGAGCATCGAAGAGATAGACACTTGTAATGACCGACGGCTGTTATAACTAACGGCTGATAGTTTCCCGATGACTGACAGCTTTCGGACAGATAATAATTAACTAATGGGACTTACGAGTCACTGCCCACGAACGAGGGGCATCTGACTGCTCAGGACTCATGAACTCCGAACAACGGCTTGTGCTCGAAGATACCAGCTACTAAAGGATATATAACAACGAATGACAGCTGAGGCTCTCTTCACGATGCCTTGAATGTGTTGAATATTTCATGTCAACACCCAGGTGTAATAATAAATTTAGAGCGAATGGAAGCTTCGCGTCTCTAACTAGAGGCCCGGATGGCGCGCCTAATATCGTTTCACCAGACAGTTCGTTTTTGAGTTGACGGTAGCGTCAGTCTGTCATTTCCATCCGTATTATTTACGTGCCTCTCAGGAAGTCGAGGATTTATATTCAGGGCGGCATCTCGTTGATTTGGGATTAATTCCGTGAAGTGAGTGTGAAATGAGAAATTCAGTCCCGTTTGGATGTTTTGGTGCGGAAAATGGCCTGGGCTCCTTTGCAACATGCAGGTCGGGTCTCGAGTTCTTAGCTTCATTGCTACCGTAAATTAACTCGATATTTGAGGACTCTGGAAAGACCAAGAAGCGCTAAGGTAAAGAGGTAACCTATGGGCTCACATGTTACTCCAAATGGATGTGTTTAGAGAGCAGTTATGTCTACCCTGACGTCATTGTCTCGTGTTTCGCCGCCCATTGGAACGAATGTGCTATGGAACTGCGCTGCACGGTCCGTCTGGAGCCCTCCCTTCCCCTCCCCTCCCCTTTCCCTCTGAACCGGAGGTGGCGGTCACGTCCAAACGACCCCGTGCTGCTGCCAACGACCCGCCGGCTCCCGAGAAGCGGCACACCGGATATTGCTGCAGACCGGATGTTGGACATTTCCGGTGCAATTTGACCCCGGCGGCGTCCGGGTGAGGAGACATTTGACGCTGTTGCTGGGCTCGTCTAATGGGGAGTAAATTCTGCTGTTATACTCATATAGTGCGTCATCAGCAATTTATTTATCTCATAGACAGCTCATGCGGACCACTGATAATATTCGTTTTCCTAACCTAAGCCCGTGCCGGTGGGTTTGTCATTGGAACTTATTTGTTTTGTATCGCTTGGATGGTTAGTATTTACGGTCTAAGTGAGGTGATTAATTCATGATCTTTATGAAACTTGTCACTTGAGCTCGATAGCCTTTCGGCGCAGGGCCAACAAGTGGGATGGGTCGCCCGCTTTATCGATTTGGAGCATCGCTCGGTCCAGAAATAACATCCGGATGGCGAGGGGCGGAAGTTGAACAGTGACACCGCTGGTGGTGTGTTGACTCTCTCTCTCTCTCTCTCTCTCTCTCTCTCTCTCTCTCTCTCTCTCTCTCTCTCTCTCGCAGTTGAGTTGTTTGCGGTGAGACGTCAGTTTTTGCCCAGAGACATGTGTCTGGGTCTTTCAGTTGTCCTCCATCCATCCGCGTCGGGCTGACACCCCACGCTGGCCTGGTACCGCGCTCGGTTCGTCCTCTCGTATTTGCTTTCTGTTTATTATCCTACGTCTCCCGTCCCTTTTCGATGCTGTCATTTATTGGCTGTTTTGTGTTTGTAGTATTCCTCCAACACGTTTCCTTATCAACGCGTCTTCTTTCCCGGCAACTATCCCTATTATCTTAAATCCGTCATTTTCGTCCCACCGTCTTCAGACACTTCGCCTGCTTTTCTCTATCTGCTGCACAGTGCCTCACTTCTTCCCACCTTCCAAATCTCGGATTCCCCTACCCTACACCCTTAATTCTCATATCGATGATTTGTTGTAGCGTGTGCGGCGGCTTCGTGTGTTGGTAGCCAGTGGTTCCGCGTACTGCGTCCCACCGGTCCACAGTCCGTTTATCACCCGTCGGGCGGTACAGCCGAAGATTCAGTGGAACCGACTCCCCACGGGGCCATCATCTCTGGAACTGATGATCACCAGCATTCAGCGAATCCGACTCCCACTGCTACCTCACGTTGTCGCTCAGGCCGATTCCAGAAACTAATACAGCAAAGTAGCGACATCGCTCTGGCGTACACGGTTTCTTCCGCTTCCACTAGCATGACCGTTTTGTTTTCTTTTTTGCTTCCTTCTCAGTAGAACCCTTCATTCATTACTGTGAACGACTCGGGGCTGTTTTTTGTTCTCCGCACATTTCTTACGTCCCGCCTCTGCCGGTGGCGTCCGGACAGGACTGGCTGTGCTGTCGGTCTCCTGTCAGCGTGTCAGTGCCAATCTGTGTGTCTCTGCCGCGGCATTGTTGCCTGCTCTCGCCGCTCTCTCTCCCGCTCCGCGCTCTACCCGGATGTCCGGGTCGTGGCCGGTCTGATTGTAGCGGCTGCTGTCGCTCCCTGCCGGCCCGGTCTGTACGGGGAGGAGAATGGAAACGCCGAGTAGACAGCCACCGCTTACCTAACGGTGGTGCCAGAGAGCAGTGTGAATGCTGACAGGACGGTGTCGTGCATACTGCGTAATGCGTATAGCATAATGCATTCCTCTTCATCCTTCCAAACATGGTTTTGTCCATATTTTGTATTACCCCATCCATGATTTTGTCTTTATTATTGTTGCGTTACGTTTTGAAGGAAACGAAACATAGCCACAGGATGCTGTTTATGTTTCGATTTATGTTGATATGATGGATAATTGATCATCTTACCGAAAGCAGCACTGTCGTGAAAGCCAGGCAAACTCGGGCGTATCTTCTATGACAACAGCCAACTTCGAATTGTACACCTTCCCAATGAGTGCGCTGTAATGGGTATCTATCAACCCCCAATGACACACCTTTTCAGCACTTTGCTGTATTAGATCGGCCATTCAGCCCCCATGCCCAGGTCAGCAAAGGCCGTCGCAACACGCTATCTCAAGTGAGGAGGTCAGACACCTTAGCTTTGGGTGCGGAAACGGGACAGGACCCCAGTCATAGCCTGCGCCAGGTCAGCCACGAGGTGTCTGTCTCATCGTGACATGGGGACACGCGACGCCATGACACCTGACACGTTAACACGCGACACACGTATAGGCCGTGTCACTGACACCGGAAAACGCTGACACCGCTACCGTAACCGTGACGGTATGACACAGTAACCGTGACGATATGACACTGTGCGACAGCGTTTGGGGCAAACAGCTATGACACAGAGCTGCAGTGAACGACATGGTACCGTCACGCTGGAGCGAGCGCCGGCACGGCGGCTCGTCCCCCCCCCCTCCGCGTCCCCCCCCATCGGAGACCAGTACCGCCTGGCACCGACCCGTGATGTCACACATCACGTGATGGGAGCGGCAGTCATCGGTCCCGACACCACACAAAACATGGGGAAAGCTCGTTTGCAGATGACGCTGTAAGTTAGATATTTATGACATCTCAGTTTGGAGGATTGACAGAATAGGGTAGCATCAATGATTCAAGGGAACCTTGACTGAAATTCGCCTCACATTTATGCTTCTTGGTGAATATCTATACACAAGTTATGGTCCAATGAGAAGCACATATAGCTGGGTTTACATGTAAGAAAAGAAATTCACCGTTTTTCCCCAACACTGCCAAGTGTCACATAATTGCCGTCTTCGTTCTTGCTTACGGCAATTAAACACCTTAGGCCACTTAAAATCCCTACTTAATCACCGGGAATGGTTTCGTGATCTCGCAGTTTCCTCGCTCATATAATGCATATTCATCATTGCCAGTTGCTTAAAATGTAGCGACCACTCGCCTGCTTATGCCACATCATGTCCCGCTAGCTCTCACCATTTGAGTGTATCTCAAGTGAGCTGCTCTGGTGCTCGTCTGGGCACTTTGTGCTGATGCTCGACACTTAGTCCACGCATTTCGCTGTCCTTCACCGCTGTTTCACGAGAACTCTCGCCAGTATTCAGCCGCTGCGCACAATACCTCCTAGATTACCGGTGACTGACATCGTTTTACTGACTGTCAGTCTCGCAGTCCATCGCCAGTCACTCGCCTAGTGCTGAAGGTGTGTTCTTTCAGGATTGTCCTTACGTGCCGCCGCATACCACCAGCTGTCCGCACTGCCCGCATCTGTCATTTAATGTCCTCTCCGGACACACCTGTCACGACTGTCATCGCACCTGTCACCGCTTGTTTTCCCTGCCATTGCCTGTCATCGGATCTCCTCACCGAAAACACTGCCTAGCACCGCCTCTCGTCACTTTACCGCACCTGTCATTGCCCGTCACCTGTCATCACGTTACCACACCTGTCACTAGCTGCCTTCTGCTGTCATTCTCTGTTACCGCCTGTCCTCACTGTCAGCACCCGCGAAGGACCGTCCCAGATTGCTACAGACCATTGACTGTTGCACTTTTGGTATGGCTGGCCGGTGTAGAAAGTTCACCTGGCCTGGCAATTTCACATAGCATCCCACTCCACTCCATCAATCTCACTCCCGCCCACACTCCTTCCAAATGTCACCATTTGGGGCGTGGCGATATTTCTTCATTAACCTTCGCTCTTGCCGTGTTTGACGTGCACCAGACCGGTGCGGTGGTGTATAGCCGGCAATTTTTCCAAGCCCCACCCACCCAACAGTTCGTTACCGGGCGAGAACCCTCAGCGCTCTCAGCTGTCGGCCTGATCGGTCTCACGGGAGACACGGGAGAGGTTTCCCGGACATATCCCTTGTCTTGGACAGCCAGAGCAA